TCTCAACAGTGCTTCAGCGGATCGTTGCCGAACTCGGGACCCAGCCGGCAGGGGTGAAACTGACGGGCTCGTGCATTTCCGGCAGGAACCTGGCTGGCGTTTCCGTTTCTGTGAGGAGCCAGAGGACTCAAACAGCAGAGGCGGGTGTGGGAGCGCCACCTGTTAGTGACGTAGGCAACTTCGTTGCTAAGTCAGATACTAGTTTTCCTTGTCTTGCTCCTCCCAAGCCCCTGGCCCTGGGCCCAGCCTTGCACGCTTCAGGTTCTGCAACAGAACAGAACCGTAGAGAAATTATTGCAATGACTACGTCTTCAGTTCGCCCACGATGCATCATACCTGGATGCATTTAAGCTAATTCCCGATGCATAAAAACGCATGCATTCCACACCGTGGCTGCCCAAGGCTGTTCTCACAGGGGCCCCAGCCCGGGACGTGGTGACCCAGCCCCAGCGCGGGTGGCTGCTCACGAGTCAGGGTCGGACTGGCTCTGAGCTACTAGGCACCCGGCCTGCCTGCTGGGGGCCTTCCCTGCACTTGATCGTGGCTCCCGCTCTGGCTGCCAGGCCGGCCCGCCGGGGAGCCCACTCCCAGGTGTGGCCGGCGCAGCATGAACTGTGTGTGAGTGGGACTTGAACTTTTTCCTCCCTGATCCACTGGTCATAGGGAATTCTTCAAGGGGTCGTGGTGGGGTTCGAGGGACAGGTGGAGGGAGAGCGGCCGCAAGAGGAAGCTGGGACAAAGCAGCAGAGACAGCCGGTGCCCTCGGACCTGCCGCCGCCCGGCCCTGTCCGTTCTGCCCCCGCTCACTCCCGGAGGGCTGTTCTGCACGCCCCGCTTTACGTCTCAGTGGATGGAATAACTTCAGCTCATCTGGGGCGGCCGAGGTCACACAGGCACTTGGGGTCTGTCCCACGGTTAGGCATTCAGTCTCCTTCAGGGCTCGGCGCGAGCCAGGGGCCATTTCTCAAGAGAAAACTCCTTATTTGCCACTTGACTGAATTCAATCTTCGGCTTAATTGAATTCACCTTCAGATTGCCACCTGATCCCTCTGGTCACGACCTAAGACCATTCTTCGGAGAGTCTTTGAAGCTCCAGGAATGCCTGTGGCTGACACCTAACACCCGGCAGTGAAAGGAGAGCCCAGGGGGGACCAATGGGGCACTTGGACACACGGGGACCCCTTGGAAGAGATCCTGAAAGGGCTGACAGGGTCAGAAGGAGGGAGTGACGTGAGCCTGGGTGTTTGGGGTTTGTGGGGGGGGTGTTCTGGTAAATAACCAGCTCCCCGGGAAAAACAGATCTGATGGACGGGGTTTGCCCGTCTCCCTGGTGTCAACACTCCTACCGTGGCCAGCTGCAAGTTACCGTGTGGCATCGCTGGACCATCGTGAAGCTGAGAAGCACGTCACGAGCTGCAGGAGGCCCGAGTGAGCCGGTCTCCGCATTCCGAGGAGGGGCCGGTGTCTCAGGCTGCGTGGTGGTCGGAGGAGGGGAACGAGACGTGTCCCCTGGGTCTACAAGGGCCGGGCCGACCGGAAGCACAGGGGAAAGTGCCGCGAACAAAACACGGAGTCGCTTCCCCGTGAAGCTCAGTTTCACCATAAGTTAATCAGAGCCGCCTTCAGGAAGGCGAAGCTTAAGATTTTTAACTAAATGTATTGTTTTTTTTCTCAGAATGGAATTGCATTATAGTTTTAGAAAGAAAAACCCCCTAGATCACGGATTCCTAGACTATCAGATTCCACCTGCCAAATAAAATTTTTAGCTAAAATAAATATTGAGGAAGACATAATAGCTTTCACTACTTCCTAGTTTGCTAAGTCAGGGTGTAAACACAGACACGCACACCGCCATCGTCATTTTGTGCAGGAGAGAGCCTTTGGTGTCGTCGCACGGGAAGAGAAAGACAGTCTCAGAGCACAGGACCACTTCCTCCCCGAGCGAGGGCATCCCCTCGGACACACCGTCCTGACCATCTCCCTGGGCGGCCGACTGGGGAGAGCCCCAACGGGTGCACAGACCTGCCGTTCCCGACTGCGGAGGCCAGCACTGAACCAGCCAACAGACAAAACTGACTTGCCTATTTTGTGTGAACTTATGGGTCAATTATTCCATGCAAAGTCCCAATTTGGAGAAAAATACTCATCAGAATTACTGCTTAGAAAGGTGACTTTTAAAAACGAACTGAACTTATTGACTCAGACAACATGGGCGATGCGCAGTGCTGTGCAGGTGGTCCTCGTCTCCCCAGGGTGCCAGAGACACTCCAGTATTAAGTGGTGGTGACACACTGTGTTCAGTGACCAAATCAGCCTGTTTAATACTCACAGCGCAGAGGATTTTATAAAATAATTAAATTCTGCTAATACACTGCTGACAGGCAGTTACAGCAGCTACTCAGTTTCGGATTAATTTCCACCAGGTCTGTAACCCCCAGAAGGACCTCTGACTTGCCTGGGCAGCGAGGTAACTTCTACGTGTTTAACTTTACCCTTTAATTACTGAATAGGGAGACGGTCAAAGTTAGAAATGCATCTGTCGTCCTTTCGTATGTGCTCACTTTAAAATGCAAGCGCGCTCCCCTACAGCTGTAGTTCCCTGGGGGGGGGGGCGGGAGATCTTTGTGCAGGGTTAGGTCAGGATGTTCACGTAGTCCGCTCCGGGCTGTGCCACGGTTGCCTCTGCTGCAGTCACACCACGGCTCAGGCCCCTTGGCTCAGGGGTCTGGAGGCTGACCGGGCACAATTGGAATCTTTTGTGATGGGAACTGGAGTTCAATTTCACTGACGAGATGTCGTTGGAGTCAGAACTTTAATCAACGCTGAACTGCCGGAACATGAGAACTCAGGGCAACGGGACTGGAATGGGAGCCGGTGGCTACTAACTCCTCCTGTGAAGTGGAAGGGAATGCTGGAGGGCGCAAGTAGCCCCGAGCAGCGATTTTCCACCTTTTCCATCTCATGGTGCACACAGTTACTAAAATTCTTCGGCATACCAAAATATGTGTGTGTATTTTTTTGCCCCCCCCCAAAAAAGTATTGTATCTGTGTGTATTTTTTTCTGACCAAAAAACAGGTATCATTTTGATTCACACACCAGACAGCTGTTGTTGTGTTGGCTGTTGTCATTTTATTTGACAGTCTAAGGGAAGAACAGTCAGTGCCCTTGACCTAAAGAGTCAGATATTGCACTTTTAAAGAATTCTTGCCGTGGCTGGTGTGGCTTGGTGGATCGAGCACCGGCTTGCGAAGCAACCAACAGGTCACCAGTTCGATTCCCAGTCAGGGCACATGCCTGGGATCCTGGCCAGGTTCCTGGATGGAGGCCTGTGACAGGCAACCGACTGATGTGTCTCTCTCCCTCTTTTTCCCTCTCCCTTCCCATCTCTTTAAAAAAATTAATATAAATAAAATCTTTAAACTTTTCAGATTTCTTTATTTTTAGAGAGGGAAGAGAGAGAGAGAGAGAGAGAGAAACATCAATGTGCGGTTGCTGGGGGCCGTGGCCTGCAACCCAGGCATGTGCCCTGACTGAGAATCGAACCTGCGACACTTTGGTTCGCAGCCCAAGCTCAATCCACTGAGCTACGCCAGCCAGAGCATATAAATAAAATCTTAAACAAGAAACAATTCTGGTGGCACACCTTCAATCGCTGGCCCACATCATCTTGCTGATCTCCACAAGTGAGTCCTGGTGGGCGGATCTCAAATCCAACCAAAGAAAACCAGCGAGAAGAGGCAGATGGGTATGACGTAGAAATTCTCAGTGGGCTTCGGATGGTCCGCTTCAACTCGGAGCTTAAATCTGCAGTGACATTTTGACAGCATGGCACAGGCGAATAGGCTCTCTCATATTTGCAGGCAGCAGCACCAACTGGCACAGCTTCTATAAAGAGCAATTGACACCCACTTGGATCTAGCAATTCCAATTCCAGTTCACCCTACAGTTGGGACCATTTTTTGAAGCTTTTATTGCAGCATCGATTTATGATACCGAGACTGGAAATAAACTATCAATAGTTTCGGGGCAGGTTACATAAATTATGGTACGTTCCCACAATAGATCACTCTGTAGATGGTAAGAGAGATGACACTTTTTTTTTTTCAGACAAAACGTGCACTGTGTATACACTGTGTGAAAAAGGCAACTCATAAAAATACACACACCTGCTTTTAGGTTGGTAGAGTATCTGTGGAAGATCATGAGAAACTGTTAACATTGCAATGGACCGGCCGGCTTCTAGAGCCGGTGGGCTTGTTTCAGTGTCGGGCCGCCCTCTGCGCAGGAAAAGGCCCCAAGTTTGGTGACACAACAGGGAAGCCTGGGAGGTCAACCTCAAGGGCCAGTCCTGCTCCGGCCTCTCCACTCAGGACAGTCACCTCTGTGAGTCCACGCAGGTACGAAAGGTGACATAACCACCCCCACCTGAAGTCCATTTCCCTTTCGTTGGTTTCTGAAGGTGGCCGGTTCAAGAGCTGCTGGTAAACCTGACGTTCTTTCGACCAGTAACCCAGTTTGCTTTCCTTGTAATGCAAATCAGGGAGGTACACTATCAGGCCAGGGAGCACCTGCCACAAATGAAATTCATTGTTTGTGAACGCGCTCTGTCGCTATAGTTAGTGATGACATATTAGTAACTGATGATCACCATTCCACTGTCCCCGGCACATCCCACCACGTGCCCAGGCCGTGCCGGGCTCCTCCGGCGACTCCTCCCCCGGCCCGCCCCTTCCTCTGGCCGCCCCAGCGCTCAACCGGAGGTCTCCTGGCGGGACTGCTGCGCACAGGAGCGGAGGACGCACTGCAGCACCGTAGACGGAGCTCACTCTGTCCTCCTGTCTCTATGATCCTCTTTGTGACCCGTCGAACAGCACCGGTCCCCGAGTTCTCTGCCGATAGTCCTCCGAGCCGACAGGGGACAGTGCAGGGAGCCGGCGTTCTCGCGAGAGGCGCGGAGTTCGTTCGCGTAGTGGGAGCGCGAGCGCATGCGCGCCGGGTGGTGCGCGGTACCGCGAGGGAAGACAGCTCCGGGCTGGGGCTTGGGAGCGCGCGCGTGCGCCGTCGCGAGCTCGGCAGTGCCGGGGCCGCCGTGGGGGAGCGAGGGTGAGACCGCCGTGCGGGCCGCGGGGATGTTCCGAAAGGCCCGGCGAGTGAACGTGCGCAAGCGGAATGACTCGGAGGAGGAGGAGCGCGAGCGCGATGAAGAGCAGGAGCCGCCGCCGTTGCTGCCACCCCCGGGCACTGGCGAAGAGCCGGGCCCCGGCGGCGGCGGCGGCGGAGGCGACAGGGCCCCCGGGGGGGAGGGGCTGCTGGGCCCGGGACCGCCGCCGCCGTCTGCGCTGACGCCGGGCCCCGGGACCGAGGCCGGGGGCTGCTTCCCGGGCGGCGCTGAGCCGGGCAACGGGCTGAAGCCGCGCAAGAAGCCGCGCGAGAACAAAGAGGTGCCCCGGGCCAGCCTCCTGAGCTTCCAGGACGAGGAAGAAGGTACCTGCCGTGCGGGGGCCCCCGCACCCCGGCACCCCCGCCCAACGCACCCCTCCCCCGGGGCCCCGCACCCGGGACGGAGCCCCTTCCCGCCGGCCCTTTGCACATCCTCCCCGCCTCTGGCCTTGCGCTGCGGCCGGGGACGCGTTCCCGCGCGCCGCCAGCCTGCCCTCTACGACGCCGCCTCGCCCCCGGCCGCCTGAGCGTTTTCCACTCCGAGGGCCCGAGCTCGGTCAGCGGAGCTCTTCCGGGGGAAATCCGGTGCCCCTGGCCTGCCTCTTCCCCCGCGGTGTGTTTCAGGGACCACTTGAGTGCGGTCGCTGGGCTGGTTGGGGCTCGGTCCCCGAGCGTTCTGCGGTCACCACGCCGCTGGGGTGCGCCGTCCCGGCACCCTTGACTCGGAGGCCGGGGCTGCAGACAGCCGGAGTTCTGGGTCTGGGAACAGAAGCCCGGAGTAGACGCTCTGGTTCCAGGTGACCTTGGACCAGACCCTTGGGATCGCCGAGCCTTGGTTTCCCCGAGGCTGCAGTGCGTGTAGACGTCTGATCATAAATGAGACTTAAATATTAATAGTTTGTGTTTACATAGCCCTTTAAGTCAATGTTATAAGTAGTTAAGATTTTTGGAAACTTCACTTGCCATCCTGATGGGAGGTGCGTTCGCGTCTCCCAGTGAGGCAGGCCGTGTGTCTTCGGCCTTAGTGTTCTTTCTTATTTTGTTTAAGAGGAGGGCAGAGTTTTGTTTTTGCAAGCACTATCTGGTAGTGTTTGTGTTTGACTTTAAAGTTTTCGAATCGGACAGAGGTGATAGACACCTCATCAGCACTTTGGAAAGTTTCTTGTTCTCGGCTTAGTCTTGAAAGAACGGAATGTCATTTGGCCACGGCCTGGGAGTCACTCAGACTTGACAGTCCTGTTAAGCAGCGCCTTTTGATTTTGGATATTTTGTTTCAGATGCTGTAATGGTTTGGTGATTATTTTTTTCCCCTGCTGAAATGGGTGGTTTCAGGAAGACAATGGGACATTGGACAGTTTTCCGCAATTTGCTGTTTTAGGCCTTTTTAAAGATCTCAGTTCCGTGTTATTCTAGATTAGTTTATGCAGTTGACTTTAGTTTTTGGGAGCCTATGACATTTGAAATAACTTCAAGTTATATAATCACTGGGGGCGTACGAGTACATATTTGAAAGAATTTGAAAATCACATGAGAGCATGCAAAAGCTAGAAGGGGAGAGTGTCTGGAGGTGGTTGCTACAGACTTCGTTTAATTTCTCTTTTAAGAAAATGAAGAAGTTTTCAAAGTGAAGAAATCAAGTTACAGCAAAAAGATAGTGAAATTACTTAAGAAAGAATATAAAGAAGACCTGGAAAAATCGAAAATTAAGACAGAACTCAACTCATCGGCCGACAGTAAGTACCAACCTAAGACTGTTCTTTCGAAACGTCAGACGAGGTTCTTCCTCGTGCTGCTCGAACGGGTGTGCTGTGCGTGTCGGGGACTCCTCCCGCGCCCCTGTCGTGGGCAAGGGTCCACACTGAGTGGCCACGCGGCTCTGCCATTTCCCACTGTTGCAGCGTAAACACGTTTTCTAACCAGACAAAATCGTGGCCCCAGAATGTTTCCGCTGCAGTGACCGGTCCTCTCCCAAGACTGCTGTTGAGCGGAAGGTTCCCCCTTGGTCCTGAGACACACATTTATTCTTCTGGGAGGGAGTGCTGTGCAAATTTCTGAGTGTGTATTTTGTAGAGACAGGTTGTCTGTGTCTTGATGGTATTTCTGCAGTGGGTGTAATTCTTAGAGAACTTTTAGGTGTGCCCTGAGTGTCCTGTGCCCCCCTCCGTGCCCCCCCCCAGCGCTCCGCACACTGAAGGCTCCTCAGTGGGAGGCCCCGCCTGCCCTGTACACGTGTCTCGTGTTCGCTCTCAGCCGCAGTTCAGCCTTTGAGCAGTTGTTTGTAGGAAAGTGGATCCGTTGGGGAGGGTATCAAAGATCGAAGTGACCGAGGCCCTTTTGCAAAAAAGCAAGCACCCCTGACCAGACAGCACAGACGATTCGTGGGGGGAGCCGTGGATTCGGGTGGAAAGGTGTGCCGTTGACAGGTTGTGGCGGGCGCTGAGTGTGCTGGCTTTGCCGTGTGCGCTGCTTTGCCAGGACGGGGACGTGGCAAATGCCTCTGGAGCCGCCTCCCGGCAGGGGCCTGCAGTGCGGGCCGGCACCGGCAGAGACGGGCGGCCTGGGGCCCGCGAGGCTCCAGGGTCAGCTTCGATCCAGGGCCGGCGGGTCCAGACGTCTTTTCCCGTCTCTCCGGGGAACTGGGGATGAGTTAAAAACGTTTGCCGTGGGTGCAGGAGGAGAAGTGGGAAGAAAGGACTCTTGGAGAAACATTCCGGCGGGAGAACTGGCAGCGTTGACGTGTGCCTCAGCTATTGGATTTGAAAGAAAGAGTCAGATCTGTGCTTTTGCGCCCGGGTGACTGAGCGGATAATTATGTATTTCACACAGAAGTAGGGAAGGCAGGTGGGAGGAGGAGTATTTTTAGGGGCGTCACTTGTCTTGGAGTCGGGAAAGCTGCTTCCTTTCCCCCAAGTCTCTTGAGAATCACCCGCGCGAGGCAACGGTAGGAGGAAGGTCAGGAGCAGTGAGGCCCGAGAAGAGGGGCCCAGGCGGCCGTCGTGTGTGGCGTCTTCTGTCTCTCCACCGTCACGGCAGGCTCACCCGAGGACTCGGTGCGGGGCCTCCCCCCGGGGTGGGCGCTGGCCTAGACTGTCCGCGCGTCCCCGGCGCTGCGGGGCTCTTCCGCTGGTCCCCTCCCCCTCCAGGGCCACCCTGCCCCGCCCCGCCCCGCCCTCCTCAGGCTGGCCGGGATGCCTTGCCTTGGAAACAGAGGGAGTACCAACCTGGAAGCCTCTCTTTGTGATATTTTTAAAATAATGAGGTCACTTTTTTCCTTAAGATTTTATTTATCTTTGGACAGAGGGGGAGGGGAAGAGAGAGAGAGAGGGAAAGGGAAACATCAATGGGATAGAAGAAGTCGGTTGCCTCTTGTTCGTATCCTGGGGGACTGAACCTGTAGCCCAGGCTTGTGCCCTGCCCGGGAATTGAACAGGTGACCTTTCACTCTGTGGGGCGCTGCTTACCCAGCTGCACCACACCCATCAGAACCGGAGCTCACTTTTAAACCGGGTTTCGGTGCAGCAGCCCGTGAGCAGCTGCAGATGAAGGTGGGGGTTCAGTGCTTGTTGGGGTGATGCGAGGCCTTGCTGAAGAGGTACAGGAGGCTGGAGAAGGAAAGACAGGATGGTCTCACGATGATGGTGGTCAGTCGCAGGACGTGGTGCCAGGCAGGTCGCGGAAAGGAAGGGCTGAGGCAGGACCGCTGGCAGGTCGCTGTGGGGGTTTGCTGGGAGGGCACCTGGCAGGGGACGGTGCACCGGCTGCCCTCGGTGCCCTCCGGAGGGAGGGCCGCTGGGCCGCGTTGCTCGACAGTCCTGTGCAGAGCAAGCAGCGTGCCCCAGGCCATGTGCCAGGGGCAGGGTGCGCGGGGCCGAGAGGAAGTGCGGCGGGAGGCAGCAGGGCCGTCTGCTTCCCTGGGTGGGGGGGGCGGTTCGGCAGAGGGTGCGGCGGAAGGAAGCGGCTGAGACTGGGGATGGGACGCTGTGCCTGTTTGCAGACCGAGGGAGGCGGAGAGCCTGGTCCAGTTCAAGGCAGCGGGAGTGTGTGCGAGCAGGGGTCCTGGCGTGGCACGGGCGGGGGAGGGGAGTGCGGGGAGAGCCGTTACTTAGCGTCTCTTCGTGCAGGGACCTCGTCAGAAACGCAGTGCCCGACCCCTCCCCGAAATTCCGCCGTCACCGCCTGGGGCCCGCGCTGGCCCCACGCGTCCCTGCGGCCTCGAGGAGACGGAGGTCTGTGCATCCGCAGAGAGCCTTCTCGGTGGGGTGGTCAGTCCGGACGGCCTCCCTTAGTTCCGTTTCGTCCGTTGACGTGACTCGGGGTGAGAGCGGCAGGAAACGGGGAGTCTCCTGATCCCTAACCGTGTGCACGTGTAACCGTGTACACGAGGTGTACACGTACTCCTCGAAAAGTGAGTTTTAAAGCCTCGTGACCTCAGAACGCACTTCAGAGCGAAGTCCGTGGCCGGCGAGGTAGGACAGGGACCGGGAGAAATGACAGAGCCTGAGATAGAGTGATCTGACAGATGGAAAGCTGGAAACTTGGAGCCCTGCCTGGTGTGGCCCAGTGGACTGAGTGCTGCGGCCTGCGGACCAAAGGTCGCCGGTTCGATTCCCTGTCGGGGCACACGCCTGGGCTGCAGGCGGGGCCCCAGCGGGGTGTGAGGGAGGCCCACAGTTGGTGTTTCTCTCAGTTGATGTTTCTCTCGTCCCTCTTTCTCCCTCCTTTCCCCCTCTCTAAAAATAAAATACTTAAAAACAAAAAACTTGGAAACAGTGTTTAGCTGGAGAGGAATGACTTAGTAAATTAAGGTACGTTTATGTGAAGGGATATTACATACGTACTAAAACAACGCTTTGACGAGTTAGCGTCTAGCTCTTCTCAGGGAAGTGGGGGGCCGGGGGGTGGAGCGTCATCCCCGGTACTCTCGTGTAGGGGAGAGGAGAATACAGACCCTTTGAAGCCGTTTCAGGGAGGAAGGGAGCATGCTAGAGAAAACAGGGCGTCTTTCATATTTAGAATAAACATTTGTTTTACTCTTTCGTTGCATCTTTGTGCCTGTTGTGGACATGGCCAGGTTCAAGTGCTTCAAGATGGAAAACGTTGTGATTTTCCAGTTTTTGCCTTGGGCAGAGGGTGCGGTAGGACGGTTCAGTCACGAGTAGCGTGAGCCACTTGGTGCCGGTGAGCAACTGCGGGCCGCCAGAGCCCCGTGGTGTGAGAGCAGCCCCGAAACCGGCCTTCGGGACGGCCGGAGCATCGGCAGCGGGAACGGCAGAGCTCTCCCCTCGCTCCGCGCCGCAGGGTGCGGCCACCCCGCAGCTCCCTCCCGGACCCGCGCGGCTGCTCTCCGCCTGGTCTCCACCCCAGCTCCGGTTCCCCGGAGAGAAGTGGGTGTCTCTGCCGCAGTCGCAGAGCCACTCGTGCACGTCCGGCCGTGGCAGCAGGGTCAGGGCTGCCCAGTGCACACGTCACACTGGGTCTTACCCCTTCCGCTGACGGCAGAGGTGGTTGTGGACCAGCATGATGTCCCGGCACCGTTCGTCACAGAGATTTGTCTGGTCCCTAAACTTGGTTCCTGAGAAAGGCTTCCTGGAAGGGGCCGAGAGCGTCGTGAAACAGCGGCACACAGAACGGAGTAGTGCTTTGGAGGGGCGCAGGCTGCCCCCTGGAGAGTCCGGAGGGAGAACCCGTCACTCTTGGTAACTCGGTGACATGCCGACAAACTCCGCCGGAGGTGGGCTGGAGCGGCTGCGTCCCCCGTGCGGCCGTCACCTCCCAGGTGTGTCCCCCGTGGTGACCCTTCCTCTGTATCCGCTGGTGGTTTCAGAGGTTCGCAGACAGCATGGTTCAAGCTCTAGTGACTCGAGTCCACAATCAGGTAAAGAGCCTCTCCTTGACTTAGGGGTGTTGTTTTAACGTCATTTTCATTTCTTCAAAAACGCAGACGAGCCGCCTGTGGACAAACCGGGACACGCGAAGGACGCCGGCCCGGAGGACGGGGCCGTGCTGGGCGAGCGCGGCGAGGACGAGATGGACGTGGAGAGCGAGAAGGAGGAGGGGAAGGCCAAGGCCGGCGGGGCCTTCGCGGACGCCCTGTCGTCTCTCAACGTCCTCCGTCCAGGTGCGGCCCACCCCCCCCAGCAGTGGGCCTCGGCGGAGCCTGCCCAGCGGGGCTGGGAGGACGTCCTCGCTGGCGGCCAGGGGGCTTCCTCTTGTGGGGGGGGGGGTGTCAGAAACTTCCAGCTCTCCCGTGCTTGTCCTGGTCGGACAGGCCGGGTGCCGTCGGGGCGGCTGTGGGGCTGCCAGCGGGCAGCAGGGGCGCCGCAGCAGTTGGTTGGTGTTCTCTGCCGGCAGATGGGGTTTCTCTTGAAGCCGATGCTGAAAGCAGAACTAACCGCTGTTCGTTCCCCGCCCACGCCTCCTTCCTTTTCCACATTTCTCTACGATATACTTTGCAGATCCCGTCACTGGTTAATTAGCTTCGGAATAATTAATCCTTGTAGGCAAACTTAAATTAGGAAAAGGTATCATTTAACTCATAACACTTGTAAAATTTAAAAGTGCTTACTCTGGCCTGCCGAAGTAGTAGCATTCCAACTGGTACAGCCCTGAAGCTGTTGGCAGTGACTTCAAATGTGCCCGACCCTGTCACTCTGCATGTAGACGTTCGTCCCGGGGAAACAGTGTTTGCATCACAGCGTCATCTGCGCTGAGCAAAGCTGGGAAACTTCGTCTAGCCGGAGAGGAGCGGCTCAGTCGGTTAAGGTGCAGGGATGTCACGCAGCCATTAAAATAACGGTGCGACGAGCAGCCAGGCACTGATTTTTCCTGCAGGTGGAAAGTCAACGAACTATGTAGTGGGGGATGCTTTATGGGTCAAGAAGTTTGTTAAGCCACTAAAATTATATTTATGCAAAACAACATGAAGAAAAGCTTATGTTCTAACAAAAGCTAGGTACAGAATTGTATAGTCATCATGCTTACAGGTGAACTGAAAGCAGTTTGCAAGAGAAATATACCGTACATCTTGACGCAGACACTGGCCCACAGTGTCCGCGGCGTCATGGGTGAGACACGAGATACATTCACACAGACCACAGAGTCCTGTGGAGGAAAAGGGACGGCACAGCTACGCTCTCAAGGGGAGAGCACCTCAATCCTTCCCTTCACCGTTTTTTTTATTGGCTTTTAATTTGCACAGGAACACAGGTAAAGTTCATTAATCACTGTCAGGCAGTAAGGATCAAACAATAGATAACATACAGAGAACTATGAGCGCTTATTTTGAGTCAGGGTCTGTTAGCTAAAGGGCTACAACAAAACTTTGGGAAACAAACTCATTTCCTGCTTGGACCCTTATCATTTAATGGACAGCATTCTTAGCAAAGCAGGTTTCACAGGAGTTTATGTATTCTTTCTCAGGCCTGATCACCCGGGGAACCTGCCCTTTCCAGCACAGGGCTGCACCACCCTCCGTCATTGTTTCAGGCTTAAGTCAGGCAGAGGAAGCAAGGCAGCCAAGAGATTAGGAGACTTCTTGCAGACAGAATGAGGATTTAGGCTATGTCAAAGCCAAGGGGCAAGGGTCCATCACCCCCTTTCTCCATAGCCCCCCAAGTCCTTCCCTGGGGCCTCCACATGGTCATGCCTGTCTCAGGTCGTTCCTATCTTGGGGAATCTTTCCCGTCATTGGCTAACCCATCAAGCACTGGGGGCCAGTTATGGAAAAAGGAGCAGATGCAGCGCCCCTGCCAGGGAGATAAGCTGTGTCTCCTCACTGGCTACGGTCCAAAGGTCGCTCCCTCAGCCTTAGCCACGGGGGTGGTTACAGCTCCTGAAACCAGGCTGGGCGGCTCCCAACAATTGTTTTCTAATTTAGTAATATGCTCTGATTACTTTTGTTTTACTTAAGGGTGAAGAAAATGCTATTAAAACTTTTTTTGCTGGATTCCCCGCCCCACACACACACACACACTCTCTCTCTCTCACATCGCCAGTACGGATCCGTTTCAGTTTTCACTGTGACGGCCTGCGTCCTTCACTCTGGGTCGACAGAGCGAAGTGGGCTGCAGGCCCGGGTCGGGAGGGGCCGGCAGCTGACACCAGGACACCGTCCCGTAGCAAGGGTGTCTCGGTGAGACCGCCTCACCCCGCGCACTTTCAAGAAAGGGGAGCCTGCGTTCCTGACCCGTCTCTCGCCCTCGCCCCCCAGGGGAGATCCCCGACGCGGCGTTCATCCACGCCGCCAGGAAGAAGCGCCAGATGGCCCGGGAGCTGGGCGACTTCACCCCCCACGAGAGCGAGCCTGGGAAAGGCCGCCTCGTCCGGGAAGACGAGAACGACGCCAGCGACGACGAGGACGACGACGAGAAGCGCCGGATCGTGTTCTCTGTGAAGGAGAAGTCGCAGCGACAGAAAATCGCCGAGGAGATAGGTAACTCGGCTGGGCGGGGCGGTAGCCCGATCGTCACGCTGCTGCTAGAACCCGCATATCCAGAATCTGTCTGACGTTTTCCTAAGACGGTGTCCGCGTTAGAGGCGGGTTCTGGTTGGGCGCGAGTGTCTTGCTGGAATTTCTTGAAAACTCGAGCCTGAGTAACTGGCCCCTCCCCAGCGAGGCCGGCGGGGGCCTGTGCACCGTGCAGGCGGACCTTGGTGTCGCCGGCCCGGCACTCTCAGGGGACACTGGGCCGGGTCCCTCCCTGCGCTGAGGTGGTGTGGCGCTCACAGAGACGAGGAAACCCACCCGAGGTTTCTGTGGTTACCTCGGCTGCCTTCTGCCGAGGGGACGGGGACGCTCTGTGTCCTGAAGACAAGTGAGGGCGGGGCGTGGGATGAGGGGCGGGGCCCCCCCCGCAGTGGGTTACAGTGAGGCGGGTCAGTGCCGGCAGCGCTGCCCAACCTTGTGGCCGCAGGGGCGTGGCTCCTCCTCCCTGCCTGCCCTCCCCTCCCCTCCCCTCCCCTCCCCTCCCCTCCCTTCCCCTCCGGGTGGCCCTCACTGGTCTTGGCTGCTCTGCTGCAGGTATTGAGGGGAGCGACGACGACGCCCTAGTGTCCGGAGAGCAGGACGAGGAGCTCAGCCGGTGGGAGCAGGAGCAGATCAGGAAGGGAATCAACATCCCACAGGTGAGAGCCGAGAGCTGGACTCCAGCGGTGACAGAGCCCATTTAAAAATGTAAATGTGGGGCTTTTTTTGCCTGTTTTGTTAAAGCAGAAGTTAAGACGTATTGCATAGTGAATTGAATTTTTGTTGGCTCAAGTCCCGTAATTAAGAAAATTACATAAAGTTATGCACCCAATAAGCTTTTATTTTTTTAATATATTTTATTGAGTATGCTATTACAGTTGTCCCACTTTTTTCCTCCCCTTTATTCCCCTCCGCCCTGCACCCCCCTCCCACCAGCATTCCCCCACCTTAGTTCCTCATGGACATTCCCCCACGTCCATGGGTCGTACAAGTAAGGTCTTTGGCTTCTCCACTTCCCATACTGTTCCTACCCTCCCCCGTCTGTTTTGTACCCACCACTGATGCTGCTTATTCCCTGCACCTTCTTTTCCCCCTCCCCACTGATAATCCTCCCTGTGATCTCCATTTCTGTGACTCTGTTCCTGTTCCAGTTTGCGTAGTTTTGTTTTTTGGGGTTTTTTTTTTAGGTTTAGCTGTTGATAGTTGTGAGTTTGTTGTCATTTTACTGTTCATATTTTTTATCATCTTTTTCTTAGATAAGGCCCTTTAACATTTCATATAATAAGGGCTTGGTGATGATGAACAACTTTAACTTGACCTTATCTGGGAAGCACTTTATCTGCCCTTTCATTCTATATAATTATTTCACTGGATAGAGTCATCTTGGATGTAGGTCCTTGCCTTTCATGACTTGGAATACTTCTTTCCAGCCCCTTCTTCCTTGCAAAGTTTCTTTTGAGAAATCAGCTGATACTCTGATGGGAACTCCTTTGTAGGCAACAATGGTCTCCTTTTCTCTTGCTGCTTTTAAGATTCTGTGTCTTTAATCTTGGGGAATGGAATTATGATATGCTTTGGCGTGTGCTTCCTTGGGTCCAACTTCTTTGGAACAGGTTTTTGCAGTCTGAGGTTTTGAGTCTTTATCTCCCCACGCTGGGACCCTGAGCTGTGCGGTCTCTCTTGCTCCCCAGTTGTCCCTCCCGGTTTATCTGCACGCGAGTGTGGGGCCGCCTGGTCCGCCAGCCCCGCCGAACCCCACGTCCTCTCTGCCCGGCTGCCCGTCTCCACCCCTCCTACCGGTCTGGATGAATGTTTCTTCTTTAGTTTAACTCCTTGGTGTTGGACTTCCATACAGTTCGATTTTCTGGCATTTCTGGTTATTTTTTGTTTTCAAATTTGTTTCCTGCTTTTGGTTGTGTGAGAAGGTAAAGCGTATCTACCTGTGCCTCCATCTTGGCCAGAAGTCCTCCAATAAGCTTTTAGACGAAACAGTATTATATTTTGTTCTTTATAGTCAAGTGATGGAAGAATTTCTAGTTTCTTAGATCAGTGTATCTCAAAGTGGTTCCTTAACCAGCGGCATCAAACACCGTCTGGGAGCTTGTGAGAAGTGCAGATTCCCACTTGCCTGGAGCTAGGGAATGAGCAAGTCTGCGGGGGCAGGGTGCAGCCTGTTTCAGGGGCCCTCAGGATGATTCCGAAGCATGCCCAAGTCCGAGAAACACTGTATCGGTAAGGTGGTTCTTCCCTGGTCTGGCTCCTTCTCTGACTTAAGAGGTTACTTTGTAGTAGGTGAGTTTCTCTTCCTGTAGGTGGAAGATACCTTCCTAAATAGCCACAACATTTGTTTCATGGAAGGGCAGTGAGCGGAGATGGTGCAGGAACTGTGACCCTCTCGTTACCAGGGGTGTGCAGTGGGGAACCTGGGAGTGGGTGTGGGGGGTCCGCGATGCCCGATGCCCGCCCCTGCTCCTATGTCTGTCCTGGGCCGTGGTTCGGTTTGTCGTCCTCCACTGATGAAGTGCTGGCCTGGGGTTATTTTTAATGTCCCTTCCAACTCTTCTTTCTCCCCCTGCCCCAAAGATTTTGTGTGTTTTTGGAGAGGGGAGAGAGGGAGAGAAACATCAATGTGTGGTTGACTCTTGCATGCCCCCTACTGGGAACCTGGCCTGCAACCCAGGCATGTGCCCTGACTGGGAATCGAACTGGCGACCCTTTGGTTGTCAGCACTCAGTCCACTGAGCCACACCAGCCAGGGCCCAACTCAACTTCTTTTTCTAAAAACCATTGGAAATGAATCCTGTAATCCCATAAGAGAATAAGAACAGTCCATCTAGCACTACTTGTACTTGATTTTGAAGAATTCTAACTATTTTTAATTGAATACTGTTCAGAAAACAGTTTAATTTTTGCTGTTAGGTTTTTGTAACCTTAAAGGCATGATATTATTTTTGGCGTGATTTCATCTACCAGCTTTCACATGCACCTGTTTCTTCTCCAGGTTCAAGCAAGCCAGCCCACCGAAGTGAACATGTACTACCAGAATGCCTACCCGGCCATGCCTTACGGCTCCTCCTACGGCATTCCTTACAGCTACACGGCCTACGGATCGGCTGATGGCAAATCTCAAAAAGCAGATAGTACCGCCCCTTTCAAAACCCCCAGTAACGAGACGACTCCCGTCACTATTGATCTGGTAAAGAAACAGCTGAAAGACAGGTAGGGCAGACTGGTGGCGCCGAGACCCGTCCTCCCGCTCTGTGCTCGCAGGGGCCGCTGTCGTGGGGCCCGGGGCGGCGGGTGCAGGGAGGAGAGCCCCACCCGCCCCAGCCGAGTGGGGGCTGCTTCCCTCTCTGCCCTGCCCCCCCACCGTGGACGCCCTCTGCGGGAGCCCCGCCGAGCCCTAGAGACGCCACCCCTGACCTTGCTGGCGGCAGCTCTGTGCTGCCGCGTCCCGGACTCGGACAGGGTGCCGTCCGGCCCTGGGGGGGCCCAGCAGTGCGTCTCGGACAGCCCCCCGTAACTTTGCCTTTTTCTCTGGGAGCCGAGCAGTCCAGGTGACGGCTGCCGCTCCGCGCTCGTGCGTGTGTGTGTGTGTGCTGAGAGTGGCACGGAGTGCGCTGTGATGTCGTGGGGGTCCCGAGCGCCCAGCCCCGGGGAGTAAGCGTGCTCCGTCTGCCCTCCTGTGCTCTCAGGTTGGACGCCATGAAAGAGGCGCACAGAGCCAACCAGCAGCAGCGCGAGAAGCACCTGCGCAGCCGCGTGGACTCCACCCGGGCGATTGAGAGACTGGAAGGGTCCTCGGGGGGTACTGGTGAACGGTATAAGTTTTTGCAAGAAATGCGAGGGTATGTCCAAGACTTGCTTGAGTGTTTCAGTGAAAAGGTAAGAATGCAAAGATACTACTCTCTTTGATAAGGCAAACGAGGGCGGTCGAGGTGGCGTTGCGCAGGTGGTGTCTGTGGCCCCAGAGAGTGCCCCCCGAGTCCCACCTGAGGGGTGGCGGGCAGGCGCGCGTCCCTTCCGGGGTGGCCTTGCGTCTGGGCAGACGCGCTGCCTGCGCGGAAAGCGGGGGTCTAGCCCGGCTCGTTTAAATGGGCCCCTGGCCGGCCCCGCCTCAGTCGAGTGGTGGGCGCGGGGCTGCCCCCGGTCAGCAGCCTGAGGGTCTCATCGGATGGAAGTTTGTTTTTTATGGTTCGTGTCAAAACTTGCTTTTGACCCGTCCGTACGAGCAACTCCAGATGTGCCCAGAGACGCACCGTTGCGTCAGTTTTCAGTTTCCTCCCCAGGCGAGGCCGGTCCCCGGGCTGCTGGCAGCTCCCGCCCAGGGAAGCCTGCGCTGCTTCCGTTCCGGGAACCGTCCGCGGGCCGGCGTTTCTTCTGCGGTCTCGCTCTCCCTCGTCCTTTTTTCAGTGTGGTAGCGGACTTTTAGTGCGAAGCTCAGTGTTTTTAGTGTGAGTTACGCTGTTATATTAGCCGCCTGGAGGAACCCCCTTTTTCTCAGATGACTTCTGAGTTGATCTTCTCTAAGACAAGCGTTACCGTTTGGTGAGCGGGTTTATAAGCGTCCGTGGGTTTTGCGCCCTTACGTTTAAAACGGTTGCAGCGGCGGTGCGCTGCACGTCCTGTCTCTGAACTTGCAGGCGATGCGGGTCCGGAGTCACGTCCCCCCTCACCCCTGGCTCCGTGGGTCGGGGCGGGGTCTGCGCGCACACCAGTGCTCGCACGAGTGTTGTAGCGCGTCACTGTCTCTGCTGACGCTTCAGCGCCCCGAAGCCGGCCCGTGTCTTCCTCGGGGGCTTTCCTGGGGCCGGCCGGGGTCAGGCCCGGGCAGGGCAGCCCTCCGTGGGTCCTCTGCAGGGCTCACTACGTCCTGGTGTCTGCCGCCCGGTGTCTGGAGAAGCGGCTTCTGCAGCTGAACTGTGCGTGCCCCTTGTGGCAGACCCCTGGCTGGGGGCCCACAGCGCAGGGGTGGGGGAGGAGCACGGGCTGGCCCCTGTGCAGGGGGTGCAGGGTAGTGTCGCCGGCGGCCCGGCCTCTCCCACTAATACTGCCCTCGGGTCTCAGCGGGCAAGACGGGAGCTAACAACCTTCTGTGGCTGGAGAGAGGACCTTTGTCCTAAGCCACACTTGTACGTGACGTTTGTCCCTGGGAGCCGTGCCTAGGCACTTTGGCCTTTGCTTCGGAAAGCACGTCAGTAAACCTGTCACAGTGCTCCTGGTTGCACAGAGCTCTTCAGAAACGGGGACGGCCGTAGGGCCCACTAGACTTGCAGGTCTCGCGTTAGACGACAAGGACGTCCAGTTCATGGAGCTTCTGACTTGATACTCATTCCATAGCCAGCTCTATCAGTGATCAGCAGTGCCCTTGGCGTCCGCACGGGTGCTCTGCCCAGCACGCCGCCTCCACGGCGAAGGCGTGACACGTGGACTGTCGCACACTTCAGAGACAGTCTCTGGGCTCAGCCGCCGGGGACCATCAGGGCAGGTCTGGGGACCCTGATGCCCGCAGTGCGGGACTTCGGGGGTGAGGGGACTCCGTTCCCTGGCCCGTCCGTGACCGCCCGCTCCTGGCCCGGCGGAGTCCTGCGGGCACCTGCGGTGGCTTTCGCGGCAGACTCCGCGCTGCCCGCCCACCCGTCCCCGAGTCTGCGCTCGGCCCGTCCGCTCAGGAAGCGGCGGCCGCGCTCGCTGCCCGGGCCCCGACTCGGAATAGCCGGCTCTCCGTCCGCACCGGCCCCGGGAAACCAGGCTTCCTGGCCCCTCGGGTGTGTGTGGCGGTCGCTGGTGGGCGTGGAAGTTCCCTGCCGTGTGGTTACAGCGCAAGGTCACCAGCAGAGCGCTTCCTGCTTTTCCCTCTTAAGTTGGGCCTCGTTCTGTGAGCTTTGGTTTTCCACGGGAGCCACGTGGCGCTGAGTCACGGGCAGCGACCTGGAAACCTTGCTGGCTTCGTGAAGTGGCCATTCACGTGAAGAATGTTATTTTCTTAAGTATTCTTTTTTTTTTTAAAGATTTTATTTATTTACTTTTTAGAGAGGGAAGGGAGGGAGAAAGAGAGAGAGAGAGAAACATCAATGTGCGGTTGCTGGGGGCCGTGGCCTGCAACCCAGGCATGTGCCCTGACTGGGAATTGAACCTGCGACACTTTGGTTCACAGCCCGCGCTCAATCCACTGAGCTACGCCAGCCAGGGCTGAATGTTATTTTCTTAAGGAAACATTTCAACATTTGAGGAGAAGAGCTTTTTGGGGTTGATTCCAGGCGAGTTAGTGAGAGCAAGAAGTTTATTTGCCTCGTCTGTGTGAACGGACGCAGGCTGCGTTAGAACGTGTGATAGGCTGCAGAGCAGTGCGGGGGACACGGCGGGGCAGGGTTGGGGGGTGTCCGGCGCCAGGCGGCTGGCGGCCCCGCTCTCGCCCGCTCGCAGAGCCGTGGCCTCTGCTGGGCGCCGGGGCGCTGGCGGTGCGCTGTGACCTGCGCAGACTGGGAGGCGGCAGGTCACGCTGCCGGCAAAGGGCAAGGGGACTGGCAAGGCCTGCCGAGTCCTTGACTCTAGGAGAAAAGCAGTAAAACTCCTGAAGTCTCTTTACCGATACTGACACGTTAAGTGTCCTGACCGAACTTCTGCTCCGGTCACTGGGTGCCGGACGCTGTAGCTCCGCACGCGGGTTAAAAGAAGTGACGTTTCCTGAGCGTCAGGAGCGAGTCGCTGTGCGTGCCCGGGGGACTCCCGGTCGTTCTGTCCTTAGGGCGTGCCTCGTCAGAGGCCCGGAGCTGGCGCGGGGCCCGCGCGCGCGGGCGGCGGGGAGCCCGGTGTTACGGAGTGTGTTGTATTTCCGCAGGTGCCCCTGATTAACGAGCTCGAGTCCGCGGTACACCAGCTGTATAAACAGCGAGCCTCCCGCCTTGTCCAAAGACGACAAGATGATATTAAAGATGAATCCTCGGAGTTTTCAAGCCATTCAAGTCAGTCCATCTTGAAGGTTTTTATTATTCATTAAACAACCTCGTTCACTTAGCGCAGCCTGACCGAAACTTAGAGATCTCAGGGCATCTCGTGTGTGTAGTAGATGAAGGGGTTCCCGTGCTCTCGGGTCAAGTAGCCCTGGAAACCACAGCCGGGGCCGTGTTTAAGGAAGCAGAGCAGCTCCCAGGGGCTCGGAGACCGGGGCCGGGTGCGGGCAGCGCCCCTCCTCCCGGCGTCAGGGGACACCCCGTGGGGTCTTACCGCGAAACTGCCGTCCGGTGGGCTCTGACTGGTTTCTGCCCCCACGCCCGTCCCCTCGGCAGTGCCGACACCCCCCGCTGTGAGTGGCCACGGGGAAACTCCAAGTTTAGGGACGGGGGTTCGGGGGTGGGGGGCAGGCATACAGAGCGGTTTTCTTCTACACGACAGATGAGCTTCGAGCTTCCCCTTGTAGGTGAAAGCAGAATTGCTTGCCTTTTGCAGTTTGTCTTGCAAACGATATTAGGTTTTCAGTGAGTCAGTTGATGCCTGCATTTCTTGAAATGTTAGTGTAAAAATTTAGAAATTGAATTTATATCCTTTCACCATAATTGTGGTGTTATGGAAAACCACAATTAATTGGAACCCGCTTAGTAAATAGTTAGCTGAGGTTGTTCAACCAGATGTTGTAAGCTTCTTCGCTCTGTTTTTCCCACCCCCTGCCGTGCCGCGGGCGCTCGAACAGCGACTCCCCCGGCGGCACGGGGTGGTTGGGCCGCCTGCGCCGGCAGCCCCCAAACGCACACGTGCGGAGGTCCTTCCCGGGGCAGGCTCCTGGTCCCCTCCCGGAGGGTCTTCCCGGGTCCCGGCCCATCACCTGCACGCTGAATGGCCACCTCAGGTCGTCCCAGTGACAGGGTCTCAGTGTTAGGCTTCCCGAAAACAGCGCTTTGTCGCGTAGAGTCCCCGAGAGAGCGCCCTCCCTCCGGTGTGCCTGGCCGGGCAGAGCGGCACGGAGCGAGCGGGATGCGGGAGCCCTGCGACGGGTGGCTCGGCCTCGGTGCCGCCCCCCGAGTTTGGACGGGAGGGTCGCGGTGCTGGGCGCCTGGCCAGCGAGCGGGTCCCTGCGGGCTCCCGTCTGACTACCCCCGAATCAGGCTTCGGGGGCAGGCTGCAGGTAACCGTCACTCCGAGGAAGGGACGTAGTTTCCTTTTCAGTCCGAGGGTTCGCGTGAGCCGTGCCTTTCATCTGATGCTCGCTCCCACTTACAGCCCATCCTTCGTAATCGGGAGCTGCTTACTTACCTAGAATTAGAAGTAAGAGGTGAACGGTGATACACGTTAATTAGGTTGAGATTTGGAAAGAAACTGAAAAGTAGCGCGGGAGTGACAAATGCTGCCCTAGAGGAAGTGCTCGGTGACTGCCAGAGACTTGAGGGAAATTGCACGGGGCGCTGAAGCACCGGCTGCATTTCTGGCGTTTTCGTAAAGAAACAAGGAAGCCGGGATTCATCTCTTTAGATCCCTGAGCAGTAATCACAGCTGCTGCGTGTGGTTCTCACAGAGCGGGGGGCCGCCCACCGTCCTACCTACCTCAGTATTGACTTTTAAAAATCCGTAAGCATGGCTACGTTTTAAATATTTACTGTAGCAATGCGTATTCTTTAGAACATTTCTTTAGTGAAGGTACCTCTCAAAGAGGCAGGGATTGTTTTTGTGGTTTGGGGCTTTTTAACGGATTCATCACGGCGTGCCGTGAACGCACATTCGAGGTGAAGCAGGGGCATCGTTTGTGTGAATCTTCCCTTGCCGTTCGTGAACGCTGGGACGTCCTCCCTAATCTCTGAGCTGCTCTGGTGCCCGGATGAAAAGCTCAGCGAGGACGTCAGCTTTGAAAGCAGCGGGGCCCAGGGTCATTGGACGCCGCAGGGCAGAGGGCTGCCGGGGTGTTCCCCGGTGCCCGGGGAAGCTCCTCCCATCTTACGAGGATTGCCCCTGCCGCCCCCGGGGGGTTCCCTTCCCCTCTCTGCCCACACGAGGCAGGTCCTCATGTCGTCACCCCGTGGCGAGTGGGCTTCCTCCCGCCTCGTCTCGCCTGCAGTCGCAGAGCCAGCGGGCAGCGTTGGTGAGGACCCAGCGTGTGACAGAGCCGTCCTCCCGGTGTGGCTCTGCGACAGGGAGACAAGGGGAGGCCTGCGGACGGGCGGGCAGACGTTCCCGCACTCCCCCTGCCGCCCCTGGAGGAGAGATGCGTGGACTCTGTCCCGGGGGGAGAGAATGGCTTCAGGGAGAAGGCCCAGAGGCGCAAACAGCCCTGGGCCCCCCGCAAGGAGTTGGCTGTCGGCCCAGTGATCCGAGGGACAGGGCTCCGGGAGACAGCCCCCCCCCCTTGGTCCACAGCCCCTCCCTGCCCCGTCCACAGGCCGGCCAGGCCTCTGTGCGGGCGGTAGCTGACCGTGGCCCAAGAGCGCAGCAGGGGCTGTCGAGCCGCCAGGACGGACGCCCCAGGGACAGTGCAGGCGGCAGGTCAGACCAGCGGGGGGCGCTGCCGGGAAGGGATGTCCTCAGAACAGGAATCACCTCTTTCTTGGAAACTGAAAATAGGCCGAGCAGATGTAAATTTAGGCAGGCAGGTGGGAAGCTAAAGCCTAAAAATTGCCCTAGGAAGTTAAGAAAGAAAGATGGAAAGCAGGTAAAAAAGAGATAGGGGACTGTGCTGTCAAAGAGCAGTGTTTGAGAGTGAGAGTTGGCCCTGTTCAGATGGTTTCAGTCTGCACGGGAGTCTGCCCTTGTCCAGAACCGGTGGCGGAGAGCACGCTTGTGCAGGCACAGTCAGAAAGAGAGAACAAGTCGTCCCACTCCTGCAGCAAAGCTGCTTTCTCATCCTGTCCGGGTCTCTCTCCTGTCACCTCACGCCATTCACCATGCGGTGCTGAAGCGTCTCCCAGAAACTGACCTGCTGTCTCCCTTTGCCGCCCAGGGAGTGCGGCTCGTTAGCTCACTGGGCCGTCGCGATAGCACCAGTGTCTGCTCCTCAGACGTAGAAAGGGGGTTCTGTCCGGTTGCACCTCTGGAGGGCTCTGACTTTTCTTCTCCTCTCGGGGGGGCACAGGGTGATGTGGGACTCACTCTACACAGAAGGCGGTCAGGGGCCGGCTGCGGCCGGGCTGGCGCCGGGGGTAGCACACAGTCTGTCATTGTAGCTTGTTCTGTGCAGACTCTTTTCTTGGGATCGGCGGGGGCGGCGTGTGACTGGAGCCGGTGTTGTCTTGCAGATAAGGCTCTGATGGCGCCGAACCTCGACTCCTTCGGGCGAGACCGGGCCCTGTGTCAGGAGCACGCGAAGCGCCGGATCGCCGAGCGGGAGGCTAGGAGGTGGGTCCGCGTGGAGCCGTGGGGCCGCTGCCGGCGGGGCCGAGCGGCAGGCGCTGCCGGGGTCCGGGTTGGGAGCTCGGTGTCTGTCCCGCAGGACTCGGCGGCGGCAAGCCCGAGAGCAGACCGGGAAGATGGCGGACCATCTCGAGGGCCTTTCCAGTGATGACGAAGAAACGTCCACGGACATCACCAATTTCAACCTGGAGAAAGGTCAGGCGTGCACCGGGAAACGGCGCTGTCATCGCATGGCTTCCGCAGGGGTGGCGGGGCTTTCACCGGAAACGGCGGCGAGCGGGCCCGTGGCCCCATGGGGACTGGCCCCCATTCCCGCGCCGCGGAGGCTTGCGCCTGCTTTCACTCCGAGCACCACCACGAGCTCTCACAAAGGGTGTGACCCCCGCCCCGGGGCGGGGGGGGGGGTTTCAGCGCTCGTGTCAGAGCAGACGCTGCTCCTCAGAATCGGGGGGTGTAAGTGACGGGAAGTCCGAGGTGCCAAGGGAGCCGCCTGGCCGGGAAAGGCAGAGCGGGTGGGGGCGCACGACCCGAGGGAGACTCCTGATTCGGGGCCCTGAGCAGCGTCAGCCGGAACGGTTGGTGCTGGTGCGTGCCCGGCGTTTCCAGGAGGGTCCCCGAATGGAAGCCTCCACCTCCCACTATGGCTGTGACCGTGTAGAGTTGTGCCGGCTGCAAGCCTTTGGGACCTCAGCTGGAGGAACTTACTTTCCTCCGCTTACTTACGGTGACCGGTGCTGAGCACACAGAAAACCTGAGGAATGACCCGGCGATCCCCCATGTGCCTGTCATCCGGATTCGGGTCCTAGTGCTGTCCAGCCGGGCGGCTTGAACTCTGTGTGCGTGGACACGTACGTGTGTGTGTGTGTGTGTGTGTGCGCGCGCGTGTGCTGACCCCGCAGAAATAGCTTACACACGTCACGAGACCTGCCTCCGAGAACTTCCCTGTGTCTCCCAGAACAAGGGTATCTTTCTGCCTACTCACAACACCGTTGTCACACCCAAGAAAATTAACCCCCCAAAAATTTTTAACTTTTTTCAAAAGTTAAAAAACACTTTTTTACTCCATTGATTTTCAAAAGCGAGATGAAGGAAGACATCCATTCGCTGTTCTGCCTAGCGATGTTGTCCCTGGTTGCTGCTCGCACGTGCCCCACATGCCCCCCCTGGGGTGGGACCTGCAACCTTGGGGCGTCGGGACGGCGCTCTGGCCGCCTGGGCCGCGTGGCCAGGGCCCAGCTAAAATTCCTTGTGTCATGTCTGCGCTCAGTGGCCTCCGTGGCAGCCTCCCGAGAACACTTCAGTGCCCGTTTTGTGGGGGGTTCGGTGTCGCCCCCCAAACCAGCGCCCACATGGGGTCCGGCCCTGCGTGTGGTTCTGACACCGTTTTGTCGAGAGTTAGCTCGAGGTCACGAGCGCGCCGCGCACGCACCCCCGGTGCTGGGGGGCCTGTGTGAGGTGCCGACCTCTCGGAGAGACTGGGCGCTCGTGCAGAGCGGCCTCCGCCCCAGGTCGGCCTGTGTCCTCGCGCCGGCAGCTCGTTCTCCCTCGGAACCGGAATCCGGTCTGGAACCTCGATCAGACTGAGACTGAGTTTTTGTGGCAAGAGTACTTCATCCAAGGTGCTGTTAGTTCCTGCACACACAGTAACATGGCAGGTGGTCGCCCCACCGTTGGCGACGTGAAGGCTGATTTTGAGAAGATTGGGTTTTGAGGTGTCGCCCCCACTAGGTCTCTCCATGGTACAGATCCCCCTCCCCCGAGTCACCTGGGCCACCGCACCCCCTTTGACTCACCGCCGAGGTCCATCGCTGATGCTCGCCAGCGGCAGCCGCTGCAGCGGGCAGCGGGCCGGGAAGGAGAGACGTTGGTCACGGGTTGTAACGCATGTGTGTCATTGACCCAGTGGTCGGTGGGGGGAGGAGCCAGGGGCGGAGCTGGCACTTGGCGTCCTTGCAGCTGGCACGCCTCGGGAACTGAGATCTGACCTGAGCTGCTGGGGCAGGCGCCCTTCAGCCGAACGGTGCCACGGAAGACAGCGCACGCTGGGCCGTTCGGGAGAAAGGGCTGCGCTTCGGGTGGAAGCTGAACTTACCTGTTCACCCTCTCCTTTAAACTGGAATGAACTAACAGTCGTTCCCTTGTTGGCGAGCCCGTCTCTTCGATGCCCGAGCTGCAGAGGAGACGCTGGAAACACTGAGCTGCGTCTTGTCTAGAGCCTACTGAGTCTGGGTCTCCGGGGCTCTGTTGTTTTCAGATCGCATTTCAAAAGAGTCCAGCAAGATCTTTGAAGACGTCCTGGAGAGCTTCTGTTCCATCGACTGTATTAAGTCACAGTTCGAAGCGTGGCGCTCAAAGTACTACACATCCTACAAGGACGCTTACATCGGCCTGTGCCTGCCGAAGCTGTTCAACCCCCTCATACGGCTGCAGCTCCTCACCTGGACTCCTCTCGAGGTGGGTGGCTTCCGTCACCGCGAGAAAGCCGCACAGCACGACACCTGGGTGGTTCTAACCTCCAGTTAGGGCTGTGGGCTTCCGCGAGGTGCGTCTCGGGGGCGCAGGGTTATGATGGGCCCTGGTGGTGGCTGGCCGTGGCCTGGGGTCTGCGTCTCTATAGAGCTCGGGAGCCAGCTGCTGCTTTTCAGTTGGTACATGGTGCCCTTCTCGGTCCCCAGAGTTACTCCTGGGGACCCTGGACCGGGACCGTGAATGAGCGGGGAGAACGTGGTCCTTGGGTCCTAGACCTTGGAGTTGTGTGAAATAAGGGCCGGAACTACTGATACCAAGGCGGGGGCAGTGGGACTGGGGAGGGTGAGACAGGCTGCTGGGCTGGGAGGTGGGACCCGTGAAACCTGTCGGCCTCAGGCACAGGAGAGGAGACTAGAATTTGCCCAGGCGTGTAGTGGTGGTGGTGTTCCAGACAGGCCGTGCAAGTCCCCGACACATGGAGGAGCAGGGGGCGGGGTGGCTGGGCTGAGCGTGTGGGCCGTGTGGGGGATGGCTGGGGGCGGAGCCCTGGAGATGACCGGAGGGAGACACGCAGCCCTGCCAGACCTCGTGCGGGGTCCCACGTGCGAGGGTCCCAGGGGCTCGGCGGGGCCATCTGCTGCTGGGGTTCCCTCCCCCAGGAGGGCCCCCGCTGCCCTGTAGGGACTGGGGTGTCGGCCCCGCATCCCCCGGTCCTGCCCCCCAGCTCAGCGAGCCCCCGCTTGGCTTGCAGCCTCACCTCTCCCCAGTGCCAGTCACCTCACTCCGTTCCCTTCCTTCAAGGGTCCCAGGCCTGTGCTGCCGGTGCTGCCAGTGCTGCGTGGTCTGAAAACGGGGGCCCCCCGTGTTCTGTCCACTTCTGCCTTGTTTGTGGCCAGGGGCCAGGCCCGGGTCCGACAGCTCTTGTATTGGCTGGGAGCGGCGGTAGCCGCCGTCTGCATGTGCTGGGGTGCCCTTGTCGCTGCTGCAGGCCCAGTGCCGGGACTTCGAGAGCATGCTGTGGTTCGAGTCCCTGCTGTTCTACGGCTGCGAAGAGCGGGAGCAGGAGCGGGGCGACGTGGACGTGGCGCTGCTGCCCACGGTCGTGGAGAAGGTGCTCCTTCCCAAGCTGACAGGTGGGTCCCGGGCTCCTCGGGCCTGCTTCCGGGGCCGCGGCCACGGCGCGCTTTCCCACGGCGCGCTTTCCCACGGCAGTCGCTGTGTGGATGGTGAGGTCACCGCCCGGCCCAGAGGTCGCGCACGGGCAGACACGTGTCTCCTCTTCGCCCGGGCCTCAGGGACCGCCCGGCGGCAGCCCCGGGACAACTGCCTGGGGCACGCGGGGGCCTGGGCCCTGTGCGCTTTGCTGGGAGAAGTTTCTCGCACCATCATCAGTGTCTCCCAAGATTAGAAATCACGGGTGCAGGAGCCGATGTAAAGTAGTGAAAATAAGTTTTGAAGTTTAGTTGGAAATTCTTGGTGTTGGGACAGTGTTTGTTAGGACATTGAAACCTTTCTCCCCATTTTTATTTTCACGGATCAGTAGAACACAGAGGAGCCTGTGTTCTCCCCATCTTTGCCTCGTCCTCGGGTTCCCACAGCTGACTGACTGCTCAGAGGCTTGGTCTCGGGGGCGGGGCGGGCGCGCAGGGGGGTATCAGCGTCTGTGCGCCGCAGACCACGCGGCCCCGGGTTCGGCCAGCTGGGACCTAGCCGTGTCGCCCCTCACTCGGCCTTCATCCGGACAGTGATAGCGGAGAGCATGTGGGACCCTTTCTCTACGACGCAGACGTCGAGGATGGTCGGCATCACGTTGAAGCTAGTGGACGGGTACCCCTCAGTGGTGAACGCGGGGAACAGGAACACGCAGGTGAGGGGTGCTGCCCGGGAAAGGTCCCCGTCCTGCCTGTCCTCTGGAAGGTGAGCGGGCGCAGGGAGAGGGAGGGGGTGTCCCAAGTCTGCCGGAAAGCCCGATTCGCCTGCCTGGGCCCCGGGGCCCTGACAAAGCCCAGAACGTACAGATCGTGAGGCGACAGGTGTCCGTGTCACGGGGGCGCGCATGGAAGGGCGGTTTCCTGCTCGCACCCTCCCTGACGCCCCCCTCACTTCTCATGGGACTAGTCAAGCGTCTCTGTGAGACCTGTGTTTTTTAGGAAAAAGGAAAATGTAAAACTACTAGAATGCGTAATTATTGATGATTTAAGTGCTAAAACACTTAAATAGCATGTGAAACCACCAAGCATTCTTTTACCACTGGTTTCCAAATTTCCAATTGCCGTTGTCCCTCACTGGCCGTTCTGAAGAGCTGTTCAGACGCAGCAAAGTGCTCTTTATCACCCCTGCATTTTCAGTGGCGTGGTTCCGAGAAGAGCCAGGTCGCGTCTGATCTCAGACCCTCACAGAGCAGGTGGGGGGAGGGGAGGGGTTTCTCGGGGGCTTCAGGCCTGGGTGGGGGCTGGGGAGCCAGGGCAGCGGTAGGCATCGGGGACCCCGGGCCCTCGGTGAGGGGAGCGGGAGACTCGGTAAGAGCGCTCACTCAAAGCTGAGCCCTCGGTCTGTGACTCGGAATACGGCCTGTTACTGTTCCTTGTTGCTACTGTTTTTCCATCTTCAGTCTGACTCGGCCCTTACCAGAGTGCGTGGTCTGTTTCTGTCTTCAGTTGTACCTGAAGGCGCTCTTGCTGAGAATGAGGAGAACTTTGGACGACGACGTGTTCATGCCCTTGTATCCCAAAAAGTGAGTGGGCACGGAGCATGGCCGTCTCCGCCACCTTCCTGCGACGGTTGCTCGAACCGTGGACTCCGCCCCTGCCGTGCGGACTGAAAGCCCGAAGGGCCCCGCGTGGCCGGAGACGGCCCCCAAGCAGAGAGAGTCGCGCGAGTGACGCTCTTGGTTCCTCCTCGGTGGCTCGGGGTCAGCTTCCACTGTTCAGACTTACTGCCTCCTGGACTGTAGTCGTTTGGAGAGGTTTTAAAGTCACTTAATTCTCTCTTTACCCCTTTTACTGGTGGAAGCGTCCTCTTCTAGGGAGCACGTGGTACTCACTGCTGGGCGAAACACCTGAACGTGGTGCGTTTCCCTTTCAGCGTCCTAGAAAACAAAAACTCGGGGCCCGCCTTGTTTTTTCAGCGGCAGTTTTGGTCGTCAGTTAAGGTACGTATGTGTAGGGTGTCTGACAGACTGCAGCTTTGCCTGACGTTATGTGTGGTGTTTCGGAACGTATGTTTGTATTTAACTCCATAGGCTTAGATACAGGTATACAGAGAGAGTCTCCATTTTGCAAAGTAGTTTTTTCCCAAAGTTTATTCAGGTTTGATGTTTCCATAGGAGAAAACGAACTCTGAGTCCCACAGTTAGGTCCACGCTAGTCAGCAGAACGCCTTGCTGCCAGTGTGTTCGGAAAACAGAGTACCGGGGAGAAGTTCGAGGCCAGGGGGAGCAGTTGGCAAGGGGCACGGAGACCCTGACCAGTGAGCCACCAAAGGTCCCCTTTGTCCCCGAGGAAGTGACTCAGCAGAGACCGCGGGAAGGCAGGGCCGCCGGGATCGGCCGCTCACCCCACCGTTCTCTCTCCGTCCCAGCTGCTGGGGAACTTTCTCCAGTGGAGCGGCATCTTGTCGAACAAGACCCTGCAGGAGCTGGCCATAGACGGCTTGTTGAATAGGTACATCCTCATGGCCTTTCAGAACTCGGAGTGCGGAGACGACAGCATCAAGAAAGCCCAAAATGTGAGTTAAATGGTACATACTCAAGTTTTCAGGGCACGGAAGTTAAAATGGATCATTTGGAGTGTTTGAAGGGAATTTCGAGACTTCACGGAAACCCCTTTGCTTGCTGGGCTTAGTGTGAGGTTGTCAGTCACCGTGACCACCCAGGTGGTTCCAGCCTTCTTTTCTTTTCATTTTTAGAGAGGAGAAGGGAGGGAGAAAGAGCGAGAGAAACATCAATATGTGGTTGCCTCTCTTGCGCCCCCTACTGGGGACCTGGACCACAACCCAGGCATGTGTCCTGACTGGGAATCGAACTGGTGACCCTTTCTTTGGTTTGCAGGCCAGCACTCAGTCCGCTGAGCCATACCAGCCAGGGCTCCCGTGGCCTTCTTTACACAAAGATTTGTCCTGTGACATAACGTGTATTTCCATCCGTACATCCATCTACCTGTGTCAGTGTTTTTATAGCTATTCATAAAAGTTTTAAGAATTTTTAACAATTGAATAAGTGCTTTTTTTTTCAGTGTTACTAAAGAAATGGTTTCTTTTCTCATTTAAGAAGTGATTAAAATTTTTTTTTCTTTTACTAATTCCAGACAGAGAGAGAAGGGTGGGAGAAAGGGAGGGAGAGAAACATCAGTGTGCTGCCTCCTGCACGTGCCCCAACCGGAGACCAAACCCAAACCCAGGGCTGTGCCCTGACGGGAATTGAACCCACGACTTTTCGGTTTGTGGGACAATGCCCAACCCGCTGAGCCATGGCGGCTGAGGAGAGAAATTATTTTTTTTAAGCTGTTTTTTATACTTTACATATGAGTTCCATAATTTGGTCTTTTTTAAAAATATTTTTTGAAACAATCACAAAATTAAACTTTCGAGTGCAGTGCGGTTTTCCCAGACAGTGTCGGGGTGTCTCTGGCAGGGTGCCCTCCAGCGCCCCGACACTGCCGGGTCTGCGTCCTGTAAACACCGGTACTCGCTCCCTGACTCCGACGCGGCCCCAGAGGTGACCGTGTCACCGCAGCCTGAGTTCCGTGGTGACTGTCGGCGACGACGCCGATAGCCGTGCCGGTCAGCGGCAGCTCCCGGGCCACCTCTCGCACCCGATTGTCTCGTCTGCGCAGTCTCTCTGCTCTGGAGGAGTCAGGCCCTCAGTCTGTCCTCGACCTTCCTCACCTTGACATTGTTAAAGATGACAGGCGCGTTACTTTGTGGACTGTCCCTCAGTTGAGGTTTGTCTGATAGTCTCAGTAGGTTCAGATTCTGCGTCTCCGGCAGGTTTCATCAGTGGCAGTCCCTTCACACTGACCTCTGTGACCTTGGGACATGCCCTCTCATTTCTGGGGAGCGCCGTCTTGCTTTCCCGCACGCCACGCCCCGGCCCCCGGCCCCCGCTCAGCCCCGGCCCTGGACTCGGTCGCTGCTCCTTGCCCCTGGGTCCCCCGCACACTGGCCTGACGCCCTTTCGCGGGCTGCCTTCCCGCGTGGGGGGCTGGCCTCCCTGCTCTGGGTCTGTCCTGCCCCCGGGCCCTGCCACCTGCTGAGGCCCTTGCCCTCGCTGCCCCTCTGGGGGAAGCTCTTCCCTGCGCTCCGGCCCCCCCCCGCTGCACCGCCCTCGCGGTGCCTGGGCCTGCGCGCCCAGCCTGGGGGGCGGTGGGGGGGGGGCGGCAGCGGCGTGTGGCCGTGCGGCTGCAGGTGCTCTCGAGTCCAGCGCTGCCGACGCAGGAGAGTTGGTGCGTTCAGGGCTCCCTGGGAGACTGAGGGTGAGGCGGCTGGTTGTCAGTATTTCGTCCCTGATGTAGCCATAGACTGGACAAACTGTTTGTCTTCTGCTTTGAGTACCTCTCGCATGTGTTCAGGTAGAAATTCAGGTGTGTGAGGGAAAGCTATATGGTTAATGTAGGTTGAAAAGAACTTCCCTTCAAAGTAATGAGCACAAAGTCCCGTGGTGAGTCTCCCGGTGGAATGCGGGGTCCCCGTGGTTTAGGCGTGGCCGTGGCCGGCTCCGGGTCAGCGCCCCGCCCCGCCCTCCCCCGCAGGTCGTCAGCTGCTTCCCCAGGCAGTGGTTCGCGAACCTGCAGGGAGAGCGGACCATTGCCCAGCTGGAGAACTTCTGTCGGTACCTGGTGCACTTGGCGGACACGCTCTACAGGAACAGCATCGGCTGCTCTGACGTGGAGAAGAGGAATGCCAGGTAATTATTCGTGACGGCTGAATGAAATGGCGGTCCAGGCCTCAGTTGTTAGAGTCAGTGTTGCGAAAATGCTAAGTAGAGACATGTTTATATTTTAGTTTGAACTGTACGTTGACTTAGCATTGGTAAACATACCAAAAATACACATTATTTTCTCTTTTTGTGGTTTTACCTAATCTTTTTCAATAGGATGTGTTTGAAAGCATTAAGAAAATCTGCTGGTAACGCCCAGGCCTGAGGGGCATGAATGAGGCACGGTTTTCCGTCTCCTCCCCTGCAGAGCTGGGGGTTCCAGGCTCTGGGAGCACCCTGGGTCTCGGGCTCGGACACTCCCACGGGTGTAAGCCCCGGAGGAGCCAGTCGGCGGGACCTGGAGTGCCCTGAGCATCCCCCACCCCACCCCAGACGTGCGCTCTGCGTGGAGGGTCCCATGTCCACGTCAGAGCACACAGGGCGTCCCTCGGGACTTTTGGGGGGCAGCTTGTACACACTTTTTATCAAAGGCTGCAAGGAAGAAGGAATGAATTGCAATTTCTTTTTGTGGACATTGTTCTGGATGTTTGTTTGGGATAAATCTCTAGCGTAAAAAGTAAATAATAAATTAGCACAATTTGAGAGAATTTTCTTTTTGAACACTGCATTTCATATAACCTTCCTAATATAGTTTCATTTTCATTTAAATCACACCATTAATCTTATCCCTCTTCCGTGTAAAAGGACCCTCTTTTTTAAAGAGGAGTGTTGTTATCTTTTAGGATAAAAAATTAGAAGCAAAGTAGGTAGTAAAAACTTCAGTGGTAAAATTCTTTGGCAGGTAACTTTGTTTTATATTTTAATTTCACCTTTGGTGTTGGTTGTTAACTTATTGTCACTCACATCTCTTCTCAAGGTGTTGTATTTTCTTGGATAAGTTTTGTTTGCTTTTCCACGCTGTTTTGTTGGGAATTAAATGTCCACAAATGGCATGAACTTTCTGCGGGAGAGCACTCGGGCGCCTGCTGTGTGCGGTGCCCATAAAGCAGGCCCCACGGAGGCTGCGGTGGCCCGGGCTATAGCCTCCCCCTGGGGGGCGCTCCCCTCGGTCTCGGGGGTGGGGGGGTGGGGCGTGGTACGAGCAGGCGGGGCGCCATGTGCGCTGTTCGTCCCGGGTGTCAGAGCTGTCCACCGGCTCCCTGGCAGTTCTGGAAGGTTCTGGGCGGTCCTGGGCCAGCAGTGTCTGCACCGTCTGGAAGCTCACCGGCTGGAGACGCAGGCTCTCAGGCCCGCCTCTCCCTTTGGGACTCCAGGCTGGGCTGGCTGGTGACCTGTGTCTGAGCAGGGCTCGAGGTCCTGACCTTTGCTGAAATTGGAGGGTGGCTTAATGGGAGGAGAAGGGCTTCCCCCGGAGGTGGAGGAAACGGGTTAGGCTTCTCCGAGAGCTCTGAAGAGCGGAAGTGATGCTGGGCCTCGCATTGGCGAGGGGGGGGCGGTGTGAAGGCCCACCCGTGGGATCTGAGTGCCAGACCCGGCCTCAGAGCGCCCGTCAGGGCTCTGGTCAGCAGAGCGACGGGCGGGCCCTGCAGTGGTGTGGAGGGAGGTGGCTTTCTTCCCTGTCTGGGTCTTCATGGAAATGGCTCAGGGAATGACGCTTCAGGGCGCTTTTGTTTTTGAAATTGGGTCCCCTGTCTCTGGGCTAGTCGTGTAAACAAACTGTTGTTTTATATGGAGATAGATGTATTTTAAAATACAGTATAGCTCTTCTGTTTTCCTTCTTTAAAAATGTATACTTGGAAATATTGATTGCAAAACCTCAAAAATGGTCATAAAGTTAATAACAAATTTTTCCTTTAAGGCTTTTGTACAAATTAATGAGATTCTGCTGCTTTTTTTTTCTCTTTCAGGGAGAACATAAAACAGATAGTGAAACTCCTCGCAAGTGTCCGGGCCCTGGATCATGCTATGTCTGTTGCAAGTGACCACAATGTGAAAGAGTTTAAGTCTTTGATTGAAGGAAAATAGATCTATGAAACTGAGAAGCCTCTTGCTTTAATACCATTCCTAATGTATAAATTTTGTACATATGTAAAGTTTCTTAAACTGTAAAATGGTTGTTGTTTTAATACAAAGAACATTAATATTCAACTCCGTGTGCCGACCTGCGATTTCTCCGGAATGAAAGGGGTTCAGAGCATTTCTCGGGAGGCGATGAGTGTTTTCCTCACTGCTTGTCGCCCTCGGGTCACAGGAGTGTCTTACATGCGTGTGCAGCTCACCCGCCCATTGGTTCTCTGTGGACAGTGCGTGCTGTCCGGCGGCGGCGGCCTGCGTCTCTGTCTGCCACCGTGGAGGTCCTGTCACCCCGGAAGTTCGTGCTGTTTTTCTGCAGAGCGAGTCTTCTAGCAGCAGAGGATTCCTCTGCAGCAAATGTCGTAGGGAAACCGCTCCTCTGTCGAACAAAGGGCTGGCAAGTGACCTGGCGGTCCCCGCCCCCCCCCGGGCCCCGGCGCTGCAGTCCACCGCGGGTCTCCTGTGGGCTCCGCCGCGCGTAGCACAGGCTTTTAAAAACACGGAAGTTTTCGTTTTTGGCAACGGTGGACCTGCTGTCCAGCTGCAGGGGTTTGGGCTGACCGTCCCGTCTCCTCGTGATTTCACGCCCTGGCCAGCTTTTACAAGTGCATGCATCTGCAGTCGGTGGTCTGTACACTCGAACCCCCACATGCGTGCGTCACACATGCAATAAAGAACACGCCTCACTGGTCCGCCGCACACCTCGGCAGTTCAGTACCCAAGGTCGTCTGCCACGTGTCTACCCTGCCGTGAGTATTCGGAGAACTTGTTTTCAAGTTTATGCCTTCTGATTTGTGGTTTTCAAAAGAGGAACTTTTTGGAAATTAAGGACTATTGTTTGATAATTATATGTAATTAAGCTTTAGCCAAGCATTAAATTAATTTTCAGTTTGGTCCTTTGTTGTGTTTGCTCGCCACTAATCGTAGCGACCGACGGCATCTTGGATGAGTCCAGCGCAGCGAGCGTCGGCGTGGGTGGGCCCTGGGTCGGCGCGGCTGACACGTGGGGCAGCGCTGGGCACTCCGACCGCGCTTGCAGCTTCCTGCCCGTGGCAGGGACACGGCTTGCACCCACATGTTCCTCTGGGTGGGTGTTCTGTCATAGGGCGGTGGCAGACTGTGAGAATTAAAACGACAGTTACCTTCAACTTTAGTGGAACACCGGAAACATACATATAGATGACATGCACATCATTTATGCCTTAACTTTGTGTTTCTAAACCCAGAGACTACTTTTACTCTGTGTCAAGGGTTCTTGCAGGAAACGGGGGAACTCCTCATCCCGTGAAATGCGCCAGGATCTCTCGGTGTCAGGCCGGGGTTTGGACGCGACACCAGGACCCTGATGGGAAGTGACTTCGGCGTAGAACGAGTGGTTCTCACGCCCCAGCCAGCCAGTTTCTGTTTCGGAAGTAGCTGGAGCAGGCCCTTTCTCAGGAAGGGAATTGTCAGAAGATAAGTTTGGAGGGTTACATCTTAACAGACCTGAAGCTCAGTCTCCAGTTTCTCTCCTTGGAGCAGGCTTCTGGGTTAGCTTCAAAGTAGGCAAGGGAGGTTGTCGGGAAGGGAAGCTACGGATTCCACGTAAAGCAAGGCCGGTTGCTGCTGCTGTGTGAGGTGACCGTGCCCACCCGCACCCCTGGCAAAGCCGTGGCCTCCGGTGGCAAGCAGCAGCAGCTCTGCCCAAGGGCTTGGCTCAGCCAGTGCACCTGGCTTGGGGTCCTGCCAGCTCAGGTCCTGGGGAGCAGCCTCCAGCCAAAGGCAGGCAGGAGTGGGGGGTAAATAGAGCTCTGTGGTCCGGTCACAGAGCTCTTCAGGAAAGTGCACCTCTCATCCAGGACTTGAGGAGTAAAGCACGTGGTAAACCAGGAAAGAGTTGGCAAGCCCTGTAGAAGCCTTTCTAAGCTACTTTGCAAGACACTGACCACAGGAGCTTACGAGGCGCCCGCTTGCTTGGGGACTGAGCACTGGCAGCTTGAAGACGGAACGTCCTGCAACGCTAGGGAGGAGCCATCCCTTTCTGTAGACTTACTAACGGGCCCCCGCAGATCCCGGTCTGACAGTTAGTTCCCACCTCTGCAACCTGGAAAGAGCTGTTTGTGATAATGGGATCAGACTGTTGGTCTCCAGGTCACCAAACCTTTCCCAGCAGTTTACAACAGATAAGGAAACACAGGCTGTGAGGAGAGAGGCAGGCATGGCAAACATCTCAAAATCCAGTCCTGTGACATGGCATACTTTGTCGTTGGTTGGGAGAGGCAGTCATTTCTAAATTAGTAAATCCCAGCTGTAGTTTACTGGGGACATACTATTAGATTGGGCTACTTCTGACCTGTAGAAATGGCAATTTCATATTTCAACCCAATAGAATTTGTCTACAGGAGAAAGAATTTGGTTAAAAGCCAACATGTGCAGATCAGGGTGTTTGCTTTAAAGTCGCTGGAGCTATGGCAGCTGCTATCTGTAACGCCCACCTGGGCTGTTTCAAGAGTCAGAAGAGCCGGCCCTGGAGGCCCTTAGAGCTCGCACAGAAGCTCGTGTGTGCCACTTAACCTGTACTGAAAATCTGCCCAGCTGTTTTGAAGTGCAATGAACAAGGAAGTATAAATAAGAAATGTACTCCCCCAAAAGTAACAGTATTTATTTAAGTCAATAAAAGTGGCCCTTATGTTTTCAAACCGTAAAGCTTGTGCTCATTTCATGAGAAAATTACAGTTTTGAAAGGATTTGGAGAACCTGTGGCCTTCTGACAACTCTAGGACTGAGTCCTGCTTACCCTCCACCCATTTCCTTTTAATTGGAAGAAATAAGAAAATTCCCTTCTCACCCACTCCCATGTAGTGTTCTCTGTCCAACGCAATCTCCAATGGAAATGGATTCTTTGGAAAGAAAAATAAGTAATCATGGACCAGAGGATTATCTTAATAAGAGTTTAATACTGAGGCTGCTGGCAGTAACCACCACCAAGAGCAAACTGTTTGTTGGGAGATAGGGCTGAGAGAGAAACGCCCTTCGGTTCTCAGAACGGAACCTGCGAGTCTGCAAGTACCCTGGAAGGGAAGTGGCCTCTCTCCTGATGGATGACGGCCTCTTTAGAATCCTGAAACCAGGGTGGGTCCAGCTTCTCTAAAATGGACGGGGAACAGTTAATCAAGCCACATGACAGGGCCTGCAGGGGGAAATGATTTTGTGCACGACACCAAATTTAAATTCTGCTTCTGCTGTCAGCATAAAAGCACTAAGGGGAAGACGAAAAAGCAAGGGCAGTAGGAAACGGTTTCTCAGAGCGCTGGGTGCTCGAGGTTCTCGATTCCTGTTGAGTCTGCTGGTTTTGACTTCATTTCCATGCTTAGAGCCGCTGACAGTGGGAAGTCCGTGGGGCCGCGCTACAGCCAGGGAGACGTTGAGAAATGAGGGCGAGATGAAGGGGCCGGGTGCCTTCAGTGGCTGGATTCCACAGCTGGCACAAGCTGTGGCCGTTAAGTGACAACGACGGCCGCCTGGCCGTCCCGACGGATCCGGGGTTGGTGACTTCCCATCGCCACCCTGCGTCCAGGTGAGCACGCTTTTCTAGAGCGCTCCCGAGAGCCCCAGGACACCCCGGAAGAAGACGCGACCGCAGGGCTGTGCCAAAGCAGGCAGGAATTTTTCTTCCGGCCGCAGGCCCGGACGCTCGAAGGACACCATGGACAGCTCTCCAGGCCCCGCCCCTCGCCCGACTGGCCGCCGGGGGCGCCAGGGGTGGTCCTGACACCCCGCCCCCATCCCACGGAGCCATACCCGCCCGCCAAGCTCTACCCCAGAGTCCCTCCCTTAGCTCCGAGGGACCCACGCGCGTGGCCAGGGAGGACTCTCCTCCGTCTCCGGCACCCCCAGCGGCGGGACTTGCCGCTGCGGCCCGGAGACAGATCGCCCGCCGCGGGCCGAGCGGCCGGCACTCCATTTCGGGCCCGCAGGGCGCTCCGAGGGGGCGGGGAGTCTCCTCTGACGCCCCGCCCCTTCCCCGAGGGGGGCGGGTCTTCCGCCCCGGGCCGCGGTGCAATGCGGAAGAGATGGGCCTGCTGGAGCGGAAGTGACGCTTCCGGCGGCGGCGGCTGAGGGAGGAGGAGGAGCCGGAGGTAAAGGTGAGCGAGCCGGCGGGGGGCGGGCGCGGCCGCGGCCAGATCCACCGGCAGCCGAGTGCGCGGGTGGCCGCTTCCCGAGGTAGTGGCTGTGGTCGCAGCCGGGCGGAGCGGTAAGGGCGCCGCGGGCCGCGGGAGCGCGCGCGGGCGGGCTGAAGGAGACCGCGGGGTGCGCTGCACCGCCGGGCGGCGGCTGTGGTGACAGCGGCTGTCAGCCGCCCGCGGGGCTGGACCCTAGGCGGTCCGGGCGTCGTGGCCGCCCTGGGCAGCTCGGCGCCTCCGTCCGGCCCCTAAGGGGGAGCCGCCTCCCCAGGAGCCCGGGTCGGGTCCGTGTCCCGGGTCGTGACCCAGCGTGGCGGAGGATCCTCGCCCTCCTCCCCGCCCCCGGCCTCTGCCCCCGAGGACCGCCTTCGGGTTCCCGAATGGGTTCCCTTTCCACGCAGCGGCGACCCCGAGGAGGGGAGCGGATAGACGCCCCCCCGCCCCGCCCCGCGAGATGCGCTCCGAGGTTCCGTGTGTAAACACGCCGCGCCCGGAACGTGGAGCGATCGATAAGAGCCGCTCTCGCTGGCCCGGGAGCCGGTAGCGCTTCCTCCCGCTCTCGGGGGAAACGAGGGGGCGACTCGCCTCCGGGAACGCACCGTTCGGCCCTCGAGCGCGGCTCCCCGCCCCCGCCCAGCCGCGGGGAGGCCCCGGCCGCGGCGCAGCCCGGCGGCGGCGGCGGCGGCGGCGGCGGCGGGGTTCCCGGGGCCGCATCTGCTCCGCTCGCTCCCGCAGGGCCGCCCCCGCGCCAGGATGGCGTTCAGCAAGGGGTTCCGCGTCTACCACAAGCTGGACCCCCCGCCCTTCAGCCTCCTGGTGGAGACCCGGCACAAGGAGGAATGCCTGCTGTTCGAGTCCGGGGCCGTGGCCGTGCTCTGTAAGTCCCCCGCGCCCCGAAACACCCTGCCCACCCCGCCCTGGGGTCGCGCTCGTATTTTCTTTGGATCAAGCCTTGTTTTGTCTTCAGCTCGCATCTTCCTTTCCTCCGCCCCCGACGCAGGTTGTTGCGGGGCGGGGGGGGAGGTTGGCCGGAGTCTGCTTTAATTAGTGGGCTGTGCTGTCGCTTCTAAAACGCTATTCTTTCAAAGAAATATCGCTGCCTTTTCTGTCACGTCCCATGGACCCACCAAATGGCCTGCTTCACGTTTTTTCCTGTCGCACGCGGATTTCTTGTAGTTCAGTTGTAGCGATGAAAACTCTAAGACGATGTAAAATCCTTTTGGGGTGTCTTCCGGTGAGGACCTTGGGTTTGCGTCCAGAGAATTGCAGACTGTTGTTAAAATCTCGCGTGGAACGTGTGATTGGTTTCCTAGCATTTAAAAATGTTTCGATAATCTGTTTTAAAGAAAAGCACATTGCACCACGCACACACACACACACACACAGTAGATTAGTCATGGTCTGGGTTACTTTGTGGGGAAATGCATGAAATTAAAAATGAAAACATTAGTTGCAAGATTAAATTTCTTTCGTAATGTAGGATGTTGTCAGAGAAGTCCAGCCTGGGGTTATTCGAAGTGTGACTGTGCCTGTAGCAGTGCCCTGGAGATAGCCGCTCTCTTCGCCCGGGGTTTGCTGCAGGGGCCCGGGGCGGGAGGGGCTGCGTGTGTTCTCGGAAACGCGTGTTAATAGTGTGGGTGACGCTCAGCCAGTGTGGACTTCCCTCGCTCACGTCGCTTCTAATGCTTAAACCAACCAAAGCGTAACGTGCCATCGGTAATGTGCATGGTGTATTTCTTCCATATGACAAGTGTAGTTCTTACACTGATGAAAACCTAATTTAAAATATTCAGGGGAAATGTTTGATTTAGCACGGGAGATATTTTTCAGCTGCTTGTGTTTTTGCTGACATTACCCGATTTTCTCGTTTGTCTAAATTCTAAATGTTTCTTTCATTGTGGTTACTGGTAACAACAGGAAACCAGATTTTCAGCAACAAAGTATGCATTATGTACATTTCTCAGGGTTTTGCTATACTTTACTCTGAGTTCAGGAAACCTCAGTGTAATAATATTTCCAAACCTCCGGCAGCCTTCTTTTATGCCAGAAAACAATTTTTTAAAAAATCCCTAAGCCATCCATTTTGGCATTACCATACATTTTAAGGAAAAAGAATATAAAACATACTTTCTTAACTACTCATTAATTCTGCTTATTTTATTAGAGTTACACTATGTAAGTAATTCTTTCGGGAGAAAAAAGTTTGAATATTGCCTCTCTCTAAAGTTAGCATAAAAAGATGTGTAGTCTCTTGGGTGTGCTATTAGCTTTCCTGGTATAAACTTTACAGCAGTACTTAAAATATTAATGTTTAAGAGCTAACAGACCTTTTTACAAGCCATTCGAGTTATAAAATTAATTTGACGTTCCATCTGGAATCATGCCGCGGTGTGTGCTGTGCTGTGGAGTGTTCGTTTCCAAAGCCTTCGCGAGTTTAAAGTGCCCGTTGTGTCGGGGGGCTGTGCCTGGGTGGCACGGAGCCGTGGCCCCTGTCTCCAGCAGTGGCCCCCGGAGTTTCCGTGCGTCTACCAGAACAGACTCTTGACACATTTGTGATGCCAAACGGAAGTATCACCCCGTTTCCCAGTAAGACTAAGTGCAAATCTCAACTGTTCATCAGCGTGTCTGTAGTTTGTCCTTGCCCTGTTGGCCAGTGTTGACCCTCTCTAAGGGAACTCTGCCATGTCCTCAGTGCTTCCCCAAGGCCCCGTGCTTTTCCAGCCTTCATCGTGCTGTTCCGTGTGATGCCCCTTTCTCCAGGGCTGCTAGAATGCCCCTGTCTGCCTTTCCAGGGCCAGCCTGTTGGTGCCTTCTTCCTTCAGGAGAACCTGCCCCGCCCACCCGTCCTGCCCACGCTTAGACCTTCCTCCCTGTCATGTCTGTAGAACTCCGCAGGCGTCCCTAGCCCAGCACTCCACATGCTGGTCTTGTTGGTCTCTGCATGCTTGTGTGCCAGTGTTTTTCTCGAAAGTCGATGGTGAAAGTGGCCCTACCAGGCCTCGGGCTCTAGCTGCCCGGCTTTAAAAAGCCAAAGTTAAAAAAATTAGACATCTTGGGCAGTGCCTATTGTTGAGGGTTGGCAGTCACGGAATTCTTTCGGCCTGTGCCAGAAGTGCCATAAGATACCCAACATGAAATCTTATCTTTTGTATTATTAGCACATATCAAAAAATGGGATGTAAGGGAAAAATACAGTGAAAATAATCTCCGATCATGGATCCTTCTAGGACTAAGCATCCGCCTACACAGCCTCAGGGCCCCGTCTTTGGGCTGATAGGACTCTGAGCTCAAATCAGTCGTGATGCTGTGACTTAGTCATTACAGTCACCCGGGGAGGGTTTTTTTTGTTTTTTGTTTTTTTTACAAATACTGGGCTGGGCTTTAGCCCCTCGGAGATTCCGATATAATGAGGGTGGGATGATAATTTCTGAGTGAAGTTTATATAGGCCTTCCTATGGTAGGTAATGGGGCAACATTAGCTTGCAGGTTTTATTGAAAATAACCACGTTTCCAGAATTATAGTGCTATTACTGTCATTATGGGGCCAGTAGTAAGTTCTGCTGAACGCACAGCCTGAACCAGGTGCTGGCGCTCCCGCAGCCCTTTTGTGTGGTGCTGCCGCATGCTGGGCCCGAGTGCAGGTGTCCGTCTGGACACAGGCTCCCGGAGGACAGGCCCTGCCAGGTCCTCTTTGACCCCTCGTGCCCCTGCGGGGTTTCACTCCCACCTGTGGGAGAAGTGGTCACGGAGTAAGTGCACAGGGGGAAGGACTGACCTACACTAGACAACAGATTTGACAAAAATGCACTGTCCTGTATCTGATTGCTTGCCTCTCACATGTCTCCAACTGAGGAACCTGGTTGCAACCCAGGCATGTGCCCCGCCTGGGATTCGAACCTGCGACCTGTTGGTTCACAGGCCAGCACTCAATCCACTGAGCCAACCAGCCAGGGCTGCACTGTCCTATATTTGAAAGTAGATACTTTTTTCTATAAAGTTTATTTTCTATATTTTAGAGAATTACTGTTTGAGCTGCTGATATAAAGGACATATATATTGTTTGGACTTGTTTGTGAAAATACTAATGGAGATGGCTATCACCACATCATGACGGTCTTTCTGAAATGCCAATTAAAATGATGAATGTTGTTTATGTCTTGTATAAATACCTATTAACAGTTTGTTCTAAAATTACTTTAAGTAGGAAATAACTTTATTATTGATTTCTGTTATTCCATTTAGTTACTTAAAAAAACCTTCTGTTCTTATCTTGTGCCCTTTTTTGGTGTTACTCGTTTAAAAATAATAATGAGTCCGTGTAAACCTCGACCTCGATGCCCCTGCACCAGGGTCAGCGCCGCAGCACGTCATCTGCGGCTCATGCTGGGTCTGGGCCGGGTCAGCGGCAGGTGGGTGAGTCACACGTCACCTGGAGAAGACACCCACTAGCTCTCTGGGGGGCTCCATCGTCTTATTCCGCATACAGCTGTGGACACGAAAAGGCCAGGTAGCCAGTCAGACACAGACATGCGCTAAATTCACAAGCTCTCTCACTTTTCAACCCATTTCCTGCCTTTTCATGATTAAATAATGAATAATTAAAGAGAAAGTCAACACGTAGGAAATGGAAGATGCTTTGGTCACCTATTTAAAGGACGGGGACGTAGGGCGTGTAAGTTCCTCTTAACACTGGAGCTTTGGCTCTCTGGGTGTCACATGATGCGGATCACTTGCCTTTCTCTGGCAGGCGCTAAGATTGTTGTCAGGCTTCCCAAGGACCGTGAGCTGAGTCAAATCCACACCGAAACTGTGCCCTTGAAGGCCATATCCCTTAACCCTAGCCCTGGGTTTGCTCTGGGCTGTCTGTCTGAGTTTGCCCAGTTTTTCCCTCTATCCTGGAAATAGGAGCCATAAAACTGTAGGACAAGAATCGGGAGACCTTTGTCACAGAGTTGTAAATATCCTGCCTTTTCTATGAAACCGCATCTAGTGAAGCAGTAGTAATAGTGAAATACTAGTGCCATTTGCTGGCAGCCTTCCCTGCCAGCCACAGCCTTAAGCTAGGTTCCTAGACCTCCTGGCTGCACAGGGTCCCCCCGGGTCCCCCGAGGTTTCTCACAGCAGCCCTAGGCTGCAGCCGTGTGTATTACATAGGTCCAAACCAGGGACATTTCTGCCCAGCAACTTCAGTAGCTGTTTGAGAAGTACGATGCAGATGCAGTACATAATCTACTTCCTTTGTAAATAACCACAGTCATTTACTAATAGAATATGTGTGCCCATTGGGCATTGGACAGCTTCTCAGCCTTGGAATCTGATTGGACAGTACCACCCTCATTTCCTGTTCCACGTTGATCTGTGCCAGCAGCCACCGCAACCCAGCCTCAGAAAGACGTCACGTCCACCACGGGCTACCCTGCACTCCAATGTGGAGGCTCGGAACACGGCCGGCCCCCAGTTGGGGCAGTGTCCGACACGTGTTGAGTGCCTCCACGGTTCCTCCCGTTAAAACACCCCGCGGTGGGGGCTCTCTGGGACGTCGCTGGCGTGTCCTGGAGCCCCTCGGTGTGCAGTGCAGGGGCGTGGCACCGGCCCTGTTTTATTCCGATTGATTCTGCGGGCACAGGCGCGGCAGCTGGGGCTTGCAGAGATGACGCGGTGGCTGCAATGGCACAGTCTTGCTGTTCGATTTTCTCCGCTGTGATTGCCGTTCGTGCTGTTGTGAGGGTGGCGGTTGTTGTTTGGGGCGGGTGTGGGGCATGGATGAACAGAAAGGGGTGCCGGGGGGACTGAAGTTAAGAGGGGAATCGATAGCAGATCCTAATGAGGGAGCTCTTAAACTTGCTGTGTTTTTGCCACGGCTGGGAATGTAGCAGA